TAGAACTGCTATAGGACTTAGGATATTATTTTGGAAAACTGTTGTATTTGTATAAGTCTTATAGCAACTGTTTGATATAATTTGTAACCCTTCCTTTATTTGAAATGGTTAATGAAACTTGAATTAAAAATGAAAATTTTATTATCTCAAAAATTTGCAAAATTTCTTATTTATGGAAATTAAATTTAAGGTGTTACAATTTTATCTTTGCATATTCAAGAAAGGTTAGAGCCTATTTTATCCTCCAAGCAGAATTGTGGGTATTTATCATGGCATTCGCTTAATCAAGGATCATGAAATTGAGATTGATTTTATTATTAAATCAAATTCAGCTGTAGCTATCCAGTTTCTAAATGAAGGTTGTCTTTGAGATCATTCTTGTTACTCTTTAGTCAACCACATTGTAAGAATGGTGGGTGGCATTCAAAGCATGGAATGTGTTCATACCCTCAGAGAAGCTAACTAGGTGGTTGATGACTTTGCTAAGTTTGGTCCTTTCAATATCAAATGGTGTTATTTGTTTTGAATCTCCACCCAATTGAGTTCATTTATCTTTACTTGCAGACAAATATGCTATATTTTTCTCTCGTAGTTTTTAGTTAATAATATGGGCTTTTAAGCCCCTACTTCATTAAGGAAAAAAAACCATTATCTTTACTGATTGTATTATACTAACAATTACTTCCACTAAGAATCTTCATGTTGCTCCCATAATCATACAGAGTCCTATTAGGATTGAAATTCCCTTTCTCCTTTACTAGGCAACAACTTATTCATGATGCTCCTCCTTCAAATGGGTTAGAGGAGATAAGGGCAAATTGCTAGAAAGAGTTATATGTAAAATTATGTATGTTTAGAATTTTTAACTAGACCTTCATTTTTTTTTATTTGTAATATGTTTGAATAATCTAGAAAATTTAGGAAGTTTATAGAATATTACATGTTTTTAGACATGACTAAGCTATATGTACATATATGTGTACATTATGTGTGTAATACATACTTTTTTATTATTTTTAGAAAAAAAAAATTTAGTCTCTAAATTTTACATAATATTAGTAAAATAATATAAGAATATATAATTGAGATTAAACTATTATCATTATAAAGATGTCTCAATAACTACTCTCAGTTGAAAGATCACATAAATATGTTAGTAGAGCAAGAAAAGTAATTTACATGTAAAAGTAATACCAGAAAGAATGAGAATAACGTGAATGATGATGTTATTAAAAAAGTAATTCATTTTTTAAAATTTTTAATTAAAAAGAAAACATTTTAATTGTAATTTAAAATATAAAAAATAAAAAATTGAAAAGAACTATGATATTCTCCTCTTCCAAAATTATAAAAACAATATAACAAAGGCGTCGAAGTTGATACATAAGTGGAACTTTAGTTTTATCTTAATTATGTGAAAAAATACAAAAACAAAAAAAATATTTTTAAATAGATTAATAAAAAAAATTAAAAAAATCTGAAGAACTTTATTTCTTTCTTCAATTTGCTTGGTTAAAATATTAAAAAATAAAAAGTAAAAATGGCAAAATATATAATTGTTTGCAAATTTAAACGCTTTTAGTTTCCTTTTAATTTACTTGACAGACACAAAAAGGATAAACCTTAAAAATAAAAACACCAAAATATTTGATAATTGATTTTATTTGTTATTTTTATTTTATTTTCTTTGGTGTTTACAAGCCTTTTCGGATGTGCCCAGAGTCCAGAGAGTCTCAAGAGTGCATGTTGAGTATGGTATCGATTTTAACCGAGTGGCTCGCACCCCTTCACTTGATGTAAAGTTTTATATGTCAAGAATTAATTTGTTTTACAATAACTTCGAATTTAAAGTTGGATTGATAAATTTATATTAATACAGAATTATTAAAAATAATATATGTATATATATATATATATATATATATTTTATGCATAATATTATTCTTCTAAATTAAAGTAATTTTTATTAGTTTTACTTCAATAATAAGATAAATTATTTTAATCCTAATATTTACGTTTACTTGTAATATGTGGAATGATGCTATTGGTTTTATTCTGTGTGATAATTATTTCTTTTTTATTTCTTAACCAAAGTTAGTTAATATAAGATAAAATTTATATTAATTAATTATTTTAGTTATAAAAGTTATTTATAGAATTAATTTTGTTTTAATTAATCACAAAAAATCTCTTTCAAAGAATTAGATAACCCGTGCATATCACACGTGCTAATAAACCAAGTACTAATATGCTTGAAAAGGGCACATCTTATGTGATTACATATTTTATTTGACTCTTAAAAATAGTACTTTTGGCTAATTTTTGTTGTTGAAATATTCATTTTTAATTTTAAAATAAGATTATTTTTATTTTATTTTTAAAATAATTATTATCTCAAAATTCATTTTCTATCTTTTCTCTATTTATTTATAGCATACACAAATTTCAAAATAAATATAATAAAAAATCATAATAAAATCAAGAAAACAAAACGAATTTTTTTATTTTTATGCAGAAATTTTAAATCACTAATATTCAGGCAAAGAGAATTTCAATTAATATTAATTAGTGTCGTATAGTGAAATTTTTTTAAAATAATTGAGATATTAAACACAATTAAAATGTATATATATATAGAAATTAATTTAAATTATATATTTTATATATTTGTATGTTTTTAATTAAAAATATAAATTTTTTTTTTTAACTTTAAACCAAAACTTGTGTTCTAATTCTTTATTATTATATGGTGTTCATGAGCATTAATTTGAATCCTAATGTGATATAGTCATGACATGAGCAAAGTTTAAGGGAAGAGGAAAGGAGAACATTTAAGTTTTGAAGAAAATGTGGGGAAATGGGTTTTTAGTTCTAATTTTTCCCTTTCTTTTATAATTTACGAGAATTATACTTAATTTATTATTGCATTGCAGCTTAGCCCTTTCGTTGCTATTGCATTGAAAATCTTGCGGTCTTTTCTCATTTATTTTGGAGCTAAATCGTATTGCTTTGCAACTTTTGTTTCTTCGTGACATTTATTAAATTCGTCTACGTTATTTTTTTAATAATCCTCTTTTTACTTTATAAACTAAGCCTTAAATGAAAAAAAATTTATTATCTTGAAGCATAAAAATTATTTAAATTTTTTCTTATTTAATGATTGCAAAATCTTATAAATATTAAAGATTGAGATTTAGAACTATTTAATATTCGTTTTAGAAAGATGATTATTCACAATTATCTTTTTTAATCTGTATTAATTAATTTGATAACAAGAGATTAAAAATAATTTTAAATACCTATGTATGAGTTAAGTTTCTTGATATTAAGCGTTAAATTTGCATGTATCTACCGCTTAATAACATTTATATAATTATGCTGAATTTAATAATTACGAAGCAATTAAAGGAATCGTGTATTTATTATCTTTAAGGCATTTCACTCTCTAACAATATATATAATTTACTTTTAAATTTTGTTCATATGTATGCAAGGGAACAATAAGAACTTTTATATATATAAGAATTTTTTACTAAAAATTATAGGTTTCAATACATTCACAATATTAAATATTATAAAATTTGGTATTTATTACTCCATCTGTCTTATTTTAGATGCTGCTTAATTTTAATGCATACATATTACAAAAGTAAATTTTTTTACTAACTACTATAATAAAATAAATTAATTTAACTAAAATATAACTATAAAAAATGCTAGAGTTATTGTAGCAATTTGGAAGTGAGAACTATCCTAAATTTTTTTAAAATATTCTAAAGTAACAAATATTGAGACATGGCGCCTATAGTACACATTAGAAAAATCACTTTTCTTTTAACATTAATAGTATGCTTGGTAAAGGGGCAAAGAGGTAAATGTGAAGTAAACATTATTTACATACACTTTCTTAAATAAAATAAAAATATCTATAAACAATGCTCTTTGATCCTAAATATGTTCAGATTGGTCAAATCGATATTCCAGAGATGCAGACACACGTTCATGAATTTGATTTTTCTAAGGGGTGCCGAAACCTGTAAGTTTTTATATGAAAATAATAAATATGATAAAATTTAATACAATAATAATAATAATAATAATAATAAATACTACAATTTTTATTAAAAAATTTTAGTGCTTGCTTTTGTATAAGATTCCCAATTTTGGTTCTTGTACCTTCATGGTTCAGAGTATTTCATTTATTTAGGAGAGGGAGTTCTCTACATGCACATGTAGAAAACTTTGTACTGAGTTCAAAAATGAAATGTTTAAACTTTAAAGCTAAAAAAAAAAAAATAGATTCATGTGTGCACGTGAATAAATTCGTGTTTGTGTTACAAATAATTTTAAGAGTTTAGTTTTTTTCATCAATTAATTAAAAATACTGTAGATATAAGTTTTAAAAAGATAAATTCTGCTATGAGGATTGAGAAACATTCTATGCTATTCTATTGATAAAATAATCGTGACAGTTAATTTTAATATTTTATTTAAAAAATATAAATATTTTTTAATATCTTAATATAATTTAAGAAGACTTTAAATTTAAAGTATCATAACAAGCACCTTTTAAAAATCTATTATTAGATGATATATCGTATAAAAAATAATTATATTATTAGTATATTTTATTTAAGTTCCTTAAAATATTATCGTCGTGAAGTTTTCTTGAATAAAGACAGACTGGTGTCTCCCTTTAGCTGTCTTCCCATATTTGGTTCACCAATTCGCCGATTATATAATACTTCAAAAATATATGCATTTCGACTGTTAGTGAAAGCCAAGCTTATGTCTACGTACATTTAACACTGATTTATTAAAATCAATAAAACAGGGTCAAAGTAAAACTGATGGCATTAATGTATATTGGGTCAACACACACGTGGACTTAAAAATGGAGATTCCAAACCAAGAACTGAATCATACCACTCCATTCAATGCATTCAACTCACAACTTGCAGATAAAAAGGAGGCTTCAATCAAGGCAGAAAAGAGTTGGCAAAAAGTAAAACACCAATTTTATTCCATCCAAGGCTAAAAAGGGGCATCTCCAATCAAATAAAAAGCACTTTATTCTTCCAAGAGTTCACACTTATCTCTGGCTAACGCATAGAGATAACCAGTGACAAAAACAAAACCAGCGAGGAACATCAAAATAAATTTAACAAAATAATAATGAATAAAAATTGTAAAACAAAAAAAGGGTTTAATGGGAAGAAATCTTCAGGTTGAGGGACTTGTTGAACCAAGACTTCCAAGTACCGCTTCCTCTACGTGGAAGTGCAGTAGTCTCTCTTCCATCATCAGAACCCTCATTCTCTGTCTTCTTGCAAAGCATAAAATTCCGAGCTCCATGCGATCCAATTGTATCCCACGGACTCAAAGCTGCAACAACATCAAACCACAAATTCATAACTTTTCCAGATTATTCATCTCAAATGCAAAGGAATCCGCATTTTCTTTCAGCTTTTTTTTCTTCAAAATTAAATTAAATTTATAACTTAGCTCTTACTTTAGAATGTAATATAGATTTTTTTTAGATAACATGATAGAAGAAAAGAAAATTGCATCTAAAAGCTTATTTTTATTTCTTTAAATTAAAAAAATACATCGTCATTCATATTTTCTCTTTTAAATTTTTTCTTCGCATCCAAACAGATTAAAGTAAGGTAAAATGCAGAATTATAATCGTTAATTTAATAATTAACAATGCGACAGCATATATAAACGTAAGTAGCAAATTACAAAATCATTACATTTTACTCTCAAATTCAAATCAAAATCCGCAGCCACATAATTGATATATTCAAAATGGGAGGGGAAACGACGTAGTTTGTACGCAGTATAAAGAAAATTACCATCGGGTCCAAGATGGGGGCAATAGAGAGAGAAGAGGGTGCTGTCGCAGCGAAGCGCAGGAAGGCGACCCTCACGCGCGTAGGACTTGAGTGCGGTGTCAATAACCGCGGCAACGAGGTCTTCCTCGTTAACAACGAATCGAATAGGGCCAGCACTTCCGAGCACGTTGATGCTGATCAAAAGCCTCTTGCTATTAACGTTCTGGTTCTTCTTCTGCTTGCTCAGCAACATGGCGCCTAAATAGAAAAAATTTGGGAAAAGAAGGAGGACGAATCAGCAAATTGCAGAGATGGGTCTGGGATTTATGGAGATTTAGGGGTCGACGCCGAGGCAGCGATAGTACCAGGCTTGTTTGCAGGAAGCGAAAGCGAAGAGTGAAGAAGAAGAAGCGCTCGCCCTTGAAGGCAAAAGGGAGCGCATGTAATCGAAGGAGAATAGGGTTTCTACCATTCACAATCTCCAGGAATTTGGATTCAGAATGCGGAGTCCTTGTTAATGGGTTTGGGATTGAATTGGGATATTTAAATTGGAGCATAGGAGGAAAAAAGAGGCTCGGGATTCAAATTTGGGTTCGGGCTAGGGTTGGTGTTAGGTGAGGCTGCAGCCGCAGGTTTGTTTCGATCTGATATTATTATTATTGAAACTGAAATTGTTGGAATCATTGGGATATCCTAATGTGACGTCGCATCAACGTAGACAATTATCTCTCATTTAAACTGATTCATGAAAGGTATGTAATTCACAGAATTAGCATTAGTTAATTTAAGCCTATGTAATCACTTTAGTTTTCTTATTTTAGTTTTTTTTTTGTAAGTTTAATTTAGTTTTTAACTTAGTAAATAAAATTAAAAAATTATAATTAATATGATAAAATTAATTAGACCAGTAAAATATTCGTGTAGATTAATGCACACATGCTATTAAATTAAATATTTTTAAATAAAAAATTAAGGAAATATTTCTATTTTTTAAATCTATTAATTGTTATTGAAATTAAAAGTAACACCATCAATCGTTTTTATGTTTTTAAAATTGTTCATCACTTTTATACGTTTAAATTGTTCATGGCATTTTGGATTAAAAATCTCACACACAAGAAGAGGCAAAATGGTTATGACCCACATGTAATAAAGGCTCACACGTACCCAAGTATTCACTGATCTCTCATTCTTGGGCCCTCACAAATTTTGGAGCCTCTCCACTGGTCTTCTCTCTTAGCCTCTCTTTTGCAATTTTTTGACCATTAAATTTTATATTGAATGGTTAGCATAATTGGACCAAATACACACTGGTTTGTTCATTTTAAATTTTATACTATGCTTTGGTACATTGTTCTTTCTCTTTTCTACTTTTTGGTTTCTTTTGTGCGTGTGCATGATTGGATTATGGACCTCCCAAAATGAGCCTATTATTTTGGGTAGAATTGAAACTAAATGTTTTTTAATAATATGTTAGAACGGAAACTTAGACTCAATGAATTAGAACTAGTAATACTTGGGGTTCTAATGACAATAATAGTGACTCTAGTTATAATAATTAGTAAATAATGTTATTATTATTAGTAGTAGTAATAGTAGTAGATTAAGTAAATGTTTTCCTTTTAATAATTTAGTTATCTATGAATATACTGTTTTATATCTTGAGTGCATTAGCTAGTTTCCTATTGCTAGTTATAAAATATGAATAAGTGTTAGGTTGGAAATAATACATAATAAAAAAGTTAGGAAGCTTTCATAGCGTGCTTTCAAATAAGTCAATTGCTCCGCGGTCTACATAAAATAAATTTTAGACTAGTAAATGGAATATTAAAATTAAATTAGTGGTTTTGATCTTTCTCTCTTATTAATAACATTGATACTATAGATAAAGTAACTAAATATTTCATTTCGTATCAAATATTGTTATGGATGAAGTAACTAAACAATTTTTTTTATCAAATATAATTTTTTTTTCTGATTTACTATATTATTATTTTATGAAAAATTGAACTTGATAGCCATCTAGACTACCTTATTGGTTTACTATTCATAAAATATGTAAAGAATATTAAAATACATATTTTTAAAAATCAAATATTTTCATACATTTTTCTATTTCAAAAATAATATATAATTTTTAAAAAAAATTCATACAATGATTAATAATTGTGATGTGTCATTTGCAAATTATAAAATCTTGTTTGTTTAGCTATTCTTTATTGCATCTTGTAGCATGTGAATTTTTCTCTTTTATTTTTATAAAAAACTACAATAAAAATATCTTCCATATTCACATTAGATAAAAATGGAGAAATTAAATAACATATAAGTTATAAAAACCTATAATTTAATAACCTTAAGATTTTGGGTTGGATGTGGTATTCAAATTTGTATGTATAATTTGTTTATGACATATTAATAAGTGATTTCTTTAGTGTTTTAACCCTGTGTATATAGTCCAACAATGGTATAAGAGTTAATGGTTCATCTAGGGGATCAACTTAGACAAATATTGAAGCATGTTGGTAATAAATCCATGTGAAAGAATTCTTGTGACATAAGTCTTTTTAACAACATGAAGGTTATATAACGTGTGTTGCTAATGAGAGCTTACAATAATACAAGTTGAAGGAGCATTGTTGGTCAGTGACTCTAATGTGATTATGTCACTATAAATACTTATAATTAAAAAATCGAAAGGCTTCCATTTAAGGAGGAGTATCCCTAATGAAAAAGACACATATTCAAAGGGAAGATTGTTGTGGTAGCAAGTATAAGTAATGAAGCCTTACATTGGATAAGAATTGAGATGTTGAGCAACATATAAGTGATAAGGGACTCACAAATTCATAGCTTTAGGGTTTGTTTGAGAGTTTGAAGAAAGAGTAGGAGTGGAAGGGAGAAGGAAGAAGGGTTAATGAAATACCTTCCAAATTGAAGGAACTTAAAAACATGTGATTAAGAAGGTTTATAAAACCTCTCATTCTCATCTAAAAACTTTGAAATGAGAGTTATAATTAGATAAGCTTCCCCTTTCTCTCCTCGTCTATTCTCACCCCCAAATTAACATTCGAAGGGTGTGTTATTCAAGTTTTCTTGTATGATTTGCTAAAGATCTGTTCACAAGGGATATTTTTGGTGTTTTAGTCTCATCTTATGTTGGGTTAAAGTGTGTTATTCATCTAAGTCTTACATAAAAAATAAATAAATTGAAGAATGGAGAAGTAAAATAATATTATAAATATAAAAATTTATTTTGTGTGTATTTGGATGTATTAGGAGATTGGGTATTTATGTGTAGACCAAGATTTGTAATTTTGTTTTTAAAAAATTGGGGGTTGGAAGATTTGTAACTTTATCCAATAAAAATTATAAAATAATAAAATTATGTTGAGAGTTTGTGAACATAGATAATAGGTGTTGAACTACTTAAAGTTATGCATTTTTTTTTCTCTTTTTATTTTCTCTTTTTTATGTAGATACTTCTAGGAATAGTAAACGCAAAAGGTTTTCTTTTTTCTTGCTAGTATGTTGTTGGAACTATTGAAATGGTGGAAGAGCCTAACATTGAAGAAATTTGCAAAGATGAAATCTTTAAGTAGCATGCACCTCCTTTCCTTTTTTTAGTGTGATTTGCAATTTGAGAAAGGATCAATTAGGTCCATTTTCCTCCACGTCTCAATAAGAAGATCATGCTTAATGACTACAATAAACTAGGATGAAAAAAAATTTTTTTATTAGATTGGTATTGAGATTATATCGCAAACACATAACATATGCTCAAGTCTCGTAAGGACTCTTTAGTAATTTTGAAAATATACACATTTTATTAATCTGGAGTGTTGATTTGTATACATATATATTTCAATGAATCTATTTAGTGTTTTATTTTGATTAAAAAAAAAAACTATTTGATTCACATGAACTAGTTTGAATCCTAAATTTAAACTTTAAAGGAGGTTAATTTTTATACCTTTTTTTTCCTTCTATTTGCAACCCCTTTAATTTTTTTGTAATTTTTTTTCAATAAATACCCTTGTTCATATTACAGTTAATTTTAAAAGTAATATAGCAATTATCAATATTTTAACATATGCAATTAAATCAGTCTCATTTTACCAACGTATTATGGATTTTAAACTCTAAAAAAAATTTCAACCAACATGCAAGTGTATCCAACAATTATAGTGAAAAGAGCATTTGAGACCCTCCCAATATTGTTTCAACAAAAATTATATTGCAAGCACTCATTATTGTTCCTTAGATGTTAAGCAAATTTAAAGGTTGAGAATGTTTAAATTGAAATAAAATTTAGATTTAAAAAGAAAACAAAAAATTAGAGAAATCACAAAGATTATTTTTTATATATGGTATTTAGAAATAATATATACTGAAAAATATGATTTTTTTTAAATTACAAAAACATGGGTTTACAAATCACAATTGGCGATTTTTTATGTAGATACAAAAATCCTAATGTTAAAAAATGAAAAAGTGTAATTTTTAAAAAAAAATAAAAACTCATCAATAACAATTTTTAAAATAATAATAAAATATTTAAAAAGTACTAAAAATCATTATTGACAATTTTTGAATAAAACCCATATTTCTATAATTTTATAAAAACAACCTCATATTTCTATAATTGGTGATTTTTTTATGTAGATACAAAAATCTTAATATTGAAAAATGAAAAAGTGTAATTTTGTTTAAAAAAATAAAAACTCATCAATAAAATTTTTTAAAATAATAATAAAATATTTAAAAAGTACTAAAAATCATCATCGACAATTTTTGAATAAAATGCATATTTCTATAATTTTATAAAAAAAACCTCATATTTTTATAATTTTAAAAATGAACCATAAAAAAAAAACAAAATCACAAATCAATTGATGGTACGATTATATCAATTAATTAACTAAGATAAATAAGAACATTAAATAATATTTAGATTGATTAAATTTAATTAACTGATTAAAAGTTTAGGTGATAAATTAATCTCTAACTCTAAACTTAAATTATCTCTTACTTCTATTAACCTATTAATGTTATGATAGCCTATCAATTGATTAACTAAGATTTACCCTTAAGCAGCCAATTCAAGAATAATAATAACATCAAAAGAAATTATAATTGATAAATAGTATCAATATCATAAAATCAAACTAATATTTAAAAGAAGTTACATTATAAGAATTCAACTCAAACCTATGGTAAGAGGTATTTAGCTATACATAATTATAAAAATGAAAAAAATATAACTAAATCCAAAATATCTATAATAACAAATAATAAAAAATAAAAAACTCAACAATGATTTACCTTGACAATAATAAAATTTTATGATAAAGAAAGAGAGAAAAAGATAAAAAGAGCGATAGGTCAAGTATCAAGTGTATAATGTACAATGTCTCCTTGGCATAAACAGTAAAGCTCTTTATATAATTTAAAATCTAAAAAGATATGATTTGACCTTAAAAAAGATATGACTTCAAAAATATTATTTAGCTTCTAAAATGATATAATTTTCTATCAAATTCAAAATTCATATCTAAATTTAAAATTCAAATTTTAGAATTCATCCATTCTTTACTTACTTTAACAAATTTTCTTTGTAAACCTATTTTAACCAAGTTGTATTGTCATTACTCCCTACAATAAAAT